AGCAGAACTATACTAATTTGTATCAATATTTGAGTTAGATTGGTATTTTGTTTTCTATACTTGGTTAAAAATTGTTTTGTTATAAGGTAATATACTGTTTATTTATCAAAGTGGTCACTAATATATTGTTTGATCTAATTGGCATCAATAATAATATCTGTATCAATTTTAATATTGTTAATATATACTGGGTCTTTGTATCAATTTAATATACTATTAATTATTTTGGTTGGTTGTGTTAGAAGTTGATCATATTACTTGTTGATTAGAAAGTTAATATGTACATATAAATGCTGTGTATTTTCTAAGTTGTTTGTATTGTAAAGGGTTTTTTTAGTATGTTTTGGTATTATTTACCTATGTTGAGAGGTTATATAGTTGGTTTGGAGATGGGTCAATAGAGAATTCATATTTATTGTTAATTGTATCGATTAAGTATTGAATGTTATTAGATAATAGAGTTTTATTTTTTAATGCAATGTATAATATGACCAATAGTTTTAAGATCTTTATATAGTTGTATAGCTTTGGTATAAAAATGTATAAAAAGTTTTTAATAGTATATTTTTTGTTAGGAATATGTTGAAGTGTAGCATTAATAATACAGATATAGATCTTATACTATGTTGTTTCTAAACTTTCAATGTGTTAATTGTGGTTGAAATATTGTGTTAAGCTATGTTTGCATTTAATTGCTCTGTAAAATTGTCACAATTTTCTTTAGATATTGTTTTGTAAATAAAAACTCTATATTTGCTTTTGCCTTTGTTTTTAGTTTTAGATCTAGCAAATAGAAAAATCAAATAAACAAGAGAATACAATAATTATTATTATTAGAGAATGATGAGTTGTCAAGTTCAAAATTGTGTAGATATAGTATAAGCTTTTCACAAGCCTATATGTAGTCAATTCTGGTTTGATATCTGGTATTATATCAAATATTTTGTAGATTGTTTGTATAATTGGCTAGGTTATATATATTTGTATTATGCAAATAATTAAGTAGTTGAAATTTAATAGCTAATGATGCTATAGTGTCCTTATTTGTATTAAAGTTTTCAAGCACAATAGGATAAAGATTATATAGTCTAGCCTGTTGTATCTATATTATAACTTTGTTTTGTGTGAGTTTATGATCAGTTGTATTTGTAGAAAAGAGATATACTAATATATTTCTAAACTTGTAATCATGTTTGAAGTAAAAATCTATTATGATAGCTTTTTCAGAATTAATTATGATATTGTATATATAGGACTGAATATTGTTATAGACTATAATATATGTATTTTCTTTAGATACTAATTAGTTAGACCAAAAGTAAGTATAGTGTTGAGTATTTTGAAATTTGGTTTTTACAATATAGAAATTTTAGTTTCAATTAAACTAATTATATACAAATTGTTTGTTAAATAGTAGTTTTTCTATAACAATCTTTTTTTAAGTATATTGAATTCTTGAATATTGTGTGTTGCAATATTAAGCTTGAGTAAAGGGTCAGTTGTTATGAGAGAAGTAGACAAATAGATGGAAAAGTAGATGTATTTGATTGTAATTTTAGAAAAATATTATGAGAGTCATAAATTGATAAATTATAGTAGTTTGGGAGCATGTCTGGTTTATGTGTTAAATATATATATATCTCTGTTTTATTACAAATTATACCTATTAACCTAAGCTACAAACAAAATTTTTATATATTTTTATATATCAAAATTCTTTTATATATGTTAACTTTAATATGATTTCTCATTAATATCACTATCAATATGATTTAAAATAAATTCAAATAAGTTAATAGAATGAAGATAATCTGTACTATTAACAGTAATAAGAATACAATCTGCAAGATAGTTAGCATTTTGTTGTTATAGATGTGTAAAGAAGGAGTTAATAGTTTGTGATTCTCTCAATAAGAGAAGTTGGTAATAGATAAGGAATTTGTTGTAGTATATTTCTAAATTATAGAAGTTTGATAATATTAGTAATGATTTGGCTAAATATTCTTCTGTAGATACACTCACTGTTTTAAGTTTAATTCTCATAGCTACTAAGGTTTTTATAGTTTGCCATATGCATTTGGTCTGACTATCATTATTCTGGTTCTTTATATAATTTTTTATAGTATTAAGATTGGATTTATTTAAAAATTAATATATTTAAATTTTTTAATACTATTTTAAGTTTATTTTTATAAGAATTACTTCATATTATCTGCAGCAATTATTACTACAATATATAGTAATAACTTTTATAATTAGAGTAGAAGCTAGATTAGATTTAGAATAGAAGCAGATATAGTAATAGTTTATACTAAAACTTCACAAGAAATTTTTTTTGTTAGAACACAAAAGACTGTTTTATAAGAGAATTATTAAACTATGAATATTTTTTTGTTTTTTTGATTGTTTTCAATTTTTTATGTTATACTTAATCTTTAATCTAATTGATTAATCACATTGAGTGATTATTACCACAGATGATAAATAGCAAATCTTTATTTTTATTTTTAAAAAGTTTTTATAATTTGAATAGGCAACACCTATGTTCACTACTGAAATTTGCTATTTCTACTACATGTAATCAGATGATAAACATTTATATCATGTGACACAAAATTTAACTATATGATACTATTGTCAGAATTATTAAGTCAGCCTAAATTATACTTTAATATGGCCTAAACTAAAATTTCGGTCATGTAAATCACACTAGTCAAACAACTAAAATAAAATCACCACCTAAAAAAGTTTTGTTTTTTAGATTTAGGTTAGGGTTTTATTATTAGATCGATGTTTAAAAATACTTTTTATAGCAAAAATTTATAAGAAAAACTTTTAATTAATGCGCAGAAAGCAGTTTCATAGACTAAATTTTGGGTATAAGTGATTTTTGACAAAACAAATATTTGTTTTGAATTTTTTTGATTAGTCATAAATTTTTTTTGGGTGGCGATTTAGTCAAACCATTGTAGTACATAGTGTACTTTTAAAAAATTATAGCTCAAACTCATAGTGTTGTATTTTCACAAGTATATAGTATTAACTAAATATTTCAATCCAATTAGATTCAGATACAGTAGGTACGTGTTATTTTGTAATCTACATACAGCATTTTACGGTATAAATTCAAACCTTTTTCGAAACTAATTTCGCTCAATTTGATTTACAAATGATCTCATTGCATTGTGCTTAGATTATATCATTATGTAATTACTTGATCTAAGATGCAAATAAAAAAGTCTATTAAATTGTGGTAGTTAATATATAAAAAGATTTATAAAAATTACAAAAAAATATTGTAAAAGTATCAACTACATATTATAAAAATTTCCTTTATATCTATATAGTGTGTATAATCTCTTTGATTTACCATTTTTCAAATAGTAAATAAATTAGATTTTTCTATATCATAAAATACAAACCTATGTCTCTATCTCCACCTCCAACTGGTTATTTTATAAGTCGCATGCTCGAACACATATATTTAATCATGAATATACAATAAGCATTAAAAGGTCAAAACAAAATAAATATGTCTATTTACATTGTGATAGAAGTGGCATTTATAAAAATAAATTGAATCTTACTGATGAGACTCGTCAAAGAGCAACAAGCTCGCGGTTAATAAATTGTCCTTTTGAACTACATGGTAAAATAGAAGATGGAAAATATCATTTGATAGTAAAAAATAGCACTCATTGTCATAATGCATCAGAAAATATATCAGATCACCTATCTAGTTGCTGATTAACTAATAAAGAGCAACAAAATATTCAACAAATATCTATTTCAGGTATCTCTCCTCGAGAGATATTTTCTACTTTTCACTAAGACAATCCAAGCATCAAAGCAATTTCCAAAACTATATATAATACCCAGAACAAAATTCAGTGTAGTAATCTTCAAGACCGTGCACCAATTCAGGCTCTTCTTGACGAGTTAAAAGATAAAAACTTTTAGTATGATTATCAATATAACAACAATGGTCATTTAATACACCTTTTTTTGTATATTCTATCTCAATCACACTCACACAAACCTATAATACTATTCTTCAAATAGATTGTACTTATAAAACAAATAGATTTAGAATACTATTACTTCATATCATTGGTATGACAAGCTTTAGCACAATATTTTCTTCTTGATTTTGCTTTTTAAAATCAGAGCATGAGCAAGATTATATGTGGGCTCTAACTCGTGTTGCTCGCATTTTTAATAATAATTCAAAGCCACAGGTTATCGTAACTGATAGAGAGTTAGCATTAATACATGCTGTAAGAACTGTGTTTCCTGAATCAAAAAACCTTCTATGTGTTTGGCACATTAAAAAAATGTATTAGCAAACTGTCGACATTCTTTTTCTATATTTGATAAATAGACTTTGTTTTTGAAATGCTGGATTAGTCTTACAAAGTCTAAAACAGAGACTGAATTTAATAATAAGTGGGAAGTGCTATTAGTAACATATACAGAAAAACTATCAGTAATTATATATTTATAGGATACATGGCTGCTACTTAAAACATACTTTGTGAGTCTTTGGGCAGATCGCCATTTGTATCTGGGCAATATAATGACATCACGTATAGAGGGATCTCATTCTATGCTAAAAAAATATCTTCAAGTATCAGTAGGTGACCTTCGTATAGTTTGCAAAAGAATTTCTTTAGCATTAGAAAATTAGCATAATGAAATCAAAGTTATGACTTCTCAAGAAAAAATACAGATTCCTCATGCTCAAAATAATTCATTTTATTCACAAGTCATTACCAAGATATCTGTATTTGCACTAAAAAAGGTTCATAAGCAATTTTTGAAGGCTTCTAAAGCAACTTCAGAAAACTCATTACCAGTTTGTAGTGTTTTTTTTATATCATCTATGGGTCTTATTTGTTCTCATAAGATTCAAGAATACTTTGTCAATAACCAATGCTTACAACTTACTGACTTTCATAAGCATTGGTGGATCCAGAATCCATAATTACCTCAACAAAGACCTACAGAGGCTGATAATTCTTTGCAACAGTAGTGGCAAAGTTATTGCCAGCATTTTGACTCTTTGACAACTCAACAACAAGGTATGATCCTAGATAAAATACCAAGCCTATTTCAAGAGTCAACTGTAGTTGTGAAGGATCCACAGATACAACCTACAAGGGGATGTCCAGTTGGAGCAAAAAATATTGCTCAATCGTTTGCTAGAAGAAACCCATCTAGCTTTGAATTAATTAAAACAGAAAAATATAAAAAATGTAGTTTATGCCATGAATTAGGGCATAATAGTAGGACATGTTCTAGTATAAAAAAAAATTAAATAGGAAATCATTAGAAATTCCAATAATTTCAATATATTTCTTAAAAAATATTTCTTTTTAATTATGCAATTGCTGTATACAGTCAGAACTCCATAAATGCATACTCCATAAATGCACAGACTAAGTAAAAACTCTCTAAATGCATGGTATAGTCTGGTCCCAACTCATAAGAGCTATATATAATTTCTACTCTATAAATGCATACACTCTCTAAGTGCACTATTTCAAAAATTTTTTCTATGGTCCTGACGGCAGTATATTTATGGAGTTCTGACTATAATAGTCTTTGTATTTGAGATTAAAGTGACAATCTTTATTTGTGCTGTTCTTATTTAAAACCTGTTGATTAAATTTTTTTTCAATTTGCTATAGTAACCTAGATACATAATAAAAACGCAATTTAGTATCTTCAGTTTGTCTTTGAAAGATATGTACATATATACACAACATCTGTGATGTCTAGAATGAAAAAGATTTAGTGTCAATCGTGTAAATGCTGACTGTGACATGTATATAGTTGATAGGTTAAAATTATGTATGTGGCAAATCTTTAACTATTCGAATTATATGGGCCCAGAATTAGGGTTGAAATTGTATACAAATTGTAATATAAAAACTGAAAGAGATAGCACACACATATGAACACTATGAATTTGAGCTATAATTTTTTAAAAGTACACTATGCACTATGATGGTTTGACTAGTATGATTTACATGACCGAAATTTAGTTTAGGCTACATTAAAGTATAATTTAGGCTGACTTGGCAATTCTGACAATAGCATTATTCTGTGTAACTGAGTTTTGTATATGCAGGATATTTATTTTATAGTTAAATTTTGTGTCACATGATATAAATATTCATCCTTTTATGTACATGTAGTGGAAATAGGCGTTGCCTTTGAATATTGTATTTTAGAATCTTTTGGATATTTTTTATAAAATTAAGATTTAAAAATTATGATAACAAATTTATATATTTGATTTTTTATTTATATCAATTTAACATCTTATAAACAAAAGTATTATAATATTAAATAATAAATTTAATCTATTTAACAAATATATAGCAGTAACAAATAGTTTTTTTTTGGTATTAAGGTAAGGCCTTGCTCATATTTTTATTAATAGTTTTTAAAATAGTAACTACAAAGAGTTGCTAATCTTTAAATATATAAAATATAAAAAGTAACAACTATATACAAAAATAAAAGCTTAGACTACTTTATCTGTAACCTATTTGAGTAGTCAAAGACTTATCTAGATTATAATAAATAAAATATAATTAGAAAAGATACTGTATATAATCTATAGTATAATGAAGATATTAATTTTGCAAATGGTCTGTTTAAGTGAAAAAAAAATTATTAATATGTAACTAATCAGATAAACTATATCAATATGAGAAGATAAATAATCTATAGATACATTTTGAGATCTGGTTCTTGGGCTGTAGTAATTAAGATTAGTTATAAAATAAAGTAATATTATATAGATGTTTCTAGTTTAAGAATATAGTTTCTATATTAGTTCATAGATATGTTTATTAATTCAAAATAAAATTTTAATAATAATTTGAGAGGCTAGCTTATATAGAATATCAAAGTTTTGTATTAATTGGATTAGAGATATTAAAATAAAACCTTTGAGAATAATATTTAAAGTAGGCTTATTTGGTTTTAATGAGATATTTTTGAAAGCTATATAATTCTAGATTTTGTTTATAAGTTCATAAGTTTGGTCACTAGATAAGTTTAGTGCTGATTTATAAAAAAGGTTAGAAATAGAATTTAAAATAATATTAGAAAGAGTAGTAGAGTTAGAACAAACTCTCCAACATAAGGCTAAGTTTATGCTATTACAAAAAAAACAGTTAGAGTTGTTAAATGTATTAAAGTATCTAGTATAGTAAAGAAAAAAAGTAGGTAGTTTATTAATTGATGATCTGAATAAGATCTGCAGAGTTACTATATTAAAACAATAGTAAATTTTGGGAATAAATATAATATAAATTTTTATTATATGTTTTAATCTGAGTGAAGTCAAATGAAAAGTTTTTTTTATCAAGTTAATAATACATGTCAATTAATTGAAAGTTGTAGAGCTCATTGAGACGCATCTAATAGTGGTCAGATTATCTAAATAGGCCCACTAGATGGTAAGTTATTATTAAAAATGATTGGCTGACTATATGTAAACAAATATTGTTTATATAGAAATTTTATATAGTTAGCCAATCATTTTTTAATAATAACTCACTATCCAGTAAGCCGATTTGAATGATCTAACTACCATTAGATGTGTCTTAATAAGCTCTACAACTTTCAATTAATCGACATGTATTGTTAACTTAATAAAAAAAATATTTTTTATTTGACTCCGCTTAGATTAAAGCATATAGTTAATATCATAGAAATTTTGCCTCAATTTCTAATATAAAAATTCTGCTGATCTTATCCAGATCAACAATTAAGTGATATTTTAATTTTAAAAGATTTAATTTGATTGAGTTTAAAGTTAGTATAGTTATAAATAGGTTTTTGATTATAGTTGAAATATAATCAAATAAAGTTCTAATCAATTTGTTAAATAAAGAGTGACTATTTAGTATTGTAGTTTTGTAATAACTATAGTGCTAATATATATAATTTACAAATACTTCTAATAAAGTATCTAGTAGAAGATTCAACAAGATGTTGCTTATACTATATGATATGATAAAAATTATAAATATTTGTATATATAGAATTTAGTAGAGATGATAATATATATTGTTTTGCAAGTATATTAGCTAAGTTATTAAAATAATTATCAGTATGAGCTTGAACTTTGTGAAAAATAATTTGTAAGTTGTATGATTTGGAAATATTGAGTAATATATATCATAAAGGCCAAGAGCTAAATTTAAAAAGTTTATTGAAGTTAGGAGAATTGATAAGCTTAAAATACTTAGAGATAAGTTTAATAGATTGTGAGTCAATGAAAATTTGTATAGTTAAATTGTATAGAGTAGTTAAAATTGCAAATAAGATAGAGAAAAGTTTAGCTTTGAAAGAGAATGATCAAAGATAAATTATTGCTAAAAATTTATATATAATCTGGTTATTGATATTTAACTGAACTCAACCTAATATATATATTATACATTGTTCAGTACTAATATCAATTACAGATCTATCTGTATAAAAAATAGATTGAGATTGTGTAAAATTGGTAACTAAAAATTGTTCAAGTTTAACTATAGATTCTTAAGCTCAAAAATCTAAGATGCTATAAAGTAATTAATAGAAATTAAAATAATATTAGAATTTAAGCAGAATATTTAACTGCTATAGAATAAATAAGGTCTATATAGTTAGCATAGAAGTTAAGATTGTTGAAAAAGATTCTTCCAAAGAATTGTATAAAAATAATGACTGAAATATTAATAGTACAGTAGTTACTAATTCTGTTAGAATTTAAATAATAGTCTGAACATAGTAAATATTAAACAGGTTGAAAGTTAATAGTAACTAGTGTTGATATCAGTTTTTTAGTGAATAATTAAATCAGATTATTAAAGAAATTTTTATGAACTTTTTAGCAATAATAATATTATTATTATAGCTAAGTAGCCAGGGCTGAGATTTTTTCAAAATATGTATATTGTATGTAAAGATATTAACTTCTAGTTGTTGGTATTGGGATAGCAAAGTGCAGTAGTAGTTATAAGATATTACTTTGTTTTCTAGGTATGTGAACCAACTTGGTTGGTTGCTTTTTGCAGATAGAGCAATCTAGATAAAAGATGTTTCTATTCTAAGAGAACAGAATTGTTAGCTAAACAGAGTTGTTCAAAATAGAGCAAGTTAAAATTAAGTTATCTATAAGGTTGTATTTAGGATATTGTTTAAGGATTAGTTCTAAGGGTTGTAAGTTGTGTTAAATAGTATAAAGCTATTGAAAATTAGAATTTGCTATAAATAATATATCTAGATAAATAAGAAGTTAAATAATATAAAAGTTAAAAGTATTTTTGTTTAGACTATCTATAAGTAGTTGTGAATGTTGAAATATATTGATAGTTAACTATAAGTTGTTCTATAGTTGTTGTATTCAGAGCAGTAACGAATAGTATAAAATAATCATTTAAAATTTTAATATAAATTTTTTTATTAATTTTATATTTAAAATCTTTGTATTTAAAATTATACTAAAATCTTTATTTTTAAAAATTAATATTAAATATTTATATTTTATTTTTATTAATATAGTTTTATATACAAGTTTAACAAATGATAGTATAGTAACTTAATATAATTATTAAGTTATTATCTAATTAAAAAACAAAAGTTTGAATTCTACTAAAGATAATATTTAAATTTATAAAATTATTATAGCAAGCTGTATTTATATTTAATTAGATAATTTTTATAACTTTAGTTTTTTTTTAAGATTAAGATAAGACTTTGCATATATTTTTATTAATAGTTTTTAATATAGTAACTACAATAAATTGCTAACTTTTATATATATATAATATAAAAGTAAAAACTACATGCAAGAATAAAAGCTCAGATTATTTTATCTACAATTTAAACCTACTAGAATAGCCAAAGAATTATCTAGAGTGTGATAGATAAAATATAATTAGTAGATATTCTATATTTAATTTAATAAAAGAATAAAATTTTTAAGTTTGCAAATAGTCTTCTCAGATCATATATAGTATAGTGGATACTGTTAGCAAAATTTTCAAATAGCCACACCATATGATCACATGATGTATATTAGTGGCTTAATATTTTGTATAATCGCAAATAAGCTATGTTAAATAAAGATATTCGATCTGGTTTTGTGATTACATGAAGTAGCTGCTGTGGTTTATTTGTAATTATATGAAAACTAAACCACTAGTATTATATAATGTAACTATATGATATGGCTTTCAGAAATTTTGCTATTAATATCCACTATACTATATTTGATCTAGTCTGCTCAAGTAGTAGGCAGAAATTATTGATATATATTTGGTCTGGCTAGCTATATTGGCATGAGTAAATATAAAATTTGTGAGTTTGTTTTAAGATTCTATTGTTAGATTGTTATAATTAAGGTTGATTATAAGATAAAATAATTTTGTATTGCTTTTTCTAGTTTAAATCATTACTACAATATAGTTGTCATAATTGTTTATTAATGAGTTTATTATTCAAAGTAAAATTTTGATAATAGTTTAAAATGCTAGTTTATATAGAATATCAAAATTTTAAATAGTTTGAACTAAAAATATAGAAATAAGACCTTTAAATATAATATTTAAAAATAAAGCAAATCACTAACGCTTTCTAATAATCACTTGTACCAAATTTTCTCTAAAAATAATCACTCTATTCTCTAAATTCTACTAAGTAAACCTACTTTGGCCATCTAAGTAAAACTGTTCTACAGTAAATTTTATTTATAAGCAGCCTTGCTTTAAACTTCTAAAGCTCTTTTTTACAAAACTATAACTCTTTTTCTAAATTTTACTTCTATTGACCAAAACTTAAATTCTATTAAGTTAATATCTAATGCTCTATAATACAAAAAGATTTAGCTTATTAACAGCTTCATTTTGATATATAATACACAAAAAACAGACTAAAATTAACAAAACTACAATTAAAATACTTCCAAATTTCACTACAAAAATTTTATCTAGTTTTTACAAAAAAATTTTCTTTTTTGGAGGACTTCTGCCTCTCTAGGATATCTAAGATCTGCAAATCCATATTACTAATCAATATTACTAATTAATTTACAC